CTGCAGATAAAATACGAAGGTCATTAAAAAACGTTAGTTGCATTGCTTAAGAAAACAAAACAGGATTGAAATTCTACAATAACTTTAATTGTATCTTAAAGTTCCATTCAAAATCTACTTTTCAATGTAATTACCTTCGTTACTTAAGAATTTGTCAAGACGTTGTACAAGTTTTGTGATGACTTCTGCAAAGAAATCCCATCCAATCCCCGAAAATCATTCTTGGGTTACAACTTTCACCTCGTCATCTGTGTGGTGTAGTCGCTTTGAAAGTTCTGCTTTCATGGGACCAAAAACATGAAAGTTACACAGTGCAAGGTCTGGGCTATAAGGAGGGCAATTCCACACTTCCCACCTAAACGTTTTCAGAAGGTCACACATTTGTTTTGCTGCATGCAGTCTTGCATTATCATGCAGAAGCACAGTGCGTTTTGACAGTTTACCTGACCATTGATTTTTAAGTGCTTGTTGCAATCATTTTAGTGTTTCACAATAAGAAGAGGCATTAACTGTGACACCCATTGGCATGAACTGGTATGCGGGCAAACCTTCTCTGTCGAAAAACAGCATCAGCATCGCTTTTCCCACAGATGGAACAGTTCAACACTACTTTTCCTGAGTCAGGGAAGTGGAATGTTTCCAGTTGAGGGAGCTGCATTTAGTTTCAGGGGAGAAGTGGTGAATTCAAGACTCATCTCCGGTCATAATTTTGTCCCAAAACGCATTTCCTTTTTTTTTTTTTTTTTGTTTTTTTGGTAATGTTGCAGGAATTTCAACAGACTTTCAAAATGCTTCACTTTATGCTCCTCCATTGGTAACCTATGCATCTATTGAGTACAAACTTTATGAAATTGAAGCTGATGAGTGATAATTTTATGTGCACTTCCAGGAGAAATATCCAGTTCATTAGAAATTTCATTTATTGTTATGTGTCTGTTTGAAAGAATGCATTTATTCGTGTGAACAGCAATTTCAGAATTTGTGGCAGTTGATGGTCTTCCCGCATGCTCAGTGTCGTCGATATCCATACGTCCGTTCTCAAACATGTCACACCACTTTGTGATAGCTTGACATGACATAGCATTTTCACCATAAATTTCACGAAACCACCGATAAATTTCACGCAGTTACACCTTTTCGCCCACAAAAAAAAATAAATAAATAAATAAAATAATAATAATAATCACTGCATGCATTTTCAATTTGAATGCCACTTGCAGTTGTTGAAACATGTTTGCAACTGATTATCAGACGGTCTAAAATTGCCTCATGAAAGCCACTATGTCACACAATACAGCTAAATGAAGTATTGCCCAGACAGTTTCATCAAAATAGCCTTTGACAGAAAATTTTTACTAAAGGGTGCAACTAACTTTCTGAGTCACCTACGTACATACCTAAGCTGTATTTAAAACATTCATATTTTTTAATTAAACCCTTAACTGCTACAGGCATATATACGTACGCCTTGCTCGGCCGATGTGTTAACTGCCTGGGCGTATATATATGTGCCCTTCCAAAATACTATCATTTATTTGCTTTGTGCTGCTACCAGTAAAATTATATGCAAAGCTTTGGAATGCAACACCACAGTGACCTTGACAGAGTATATAGAGGAGGGTACTATTTTTCAGAGAATGTGGGGAATTGCAGAGGAGAATGTTTCTGAAACCCTTAAAGTTAGGACTGTGTGGTTATTGTTCCTGTTTCTGTTTGAGTAAAACATATATTTTTTATTCTGTGTCTCCCGTTTTTTGTTTACTGTTTGTAGTAGATGCTTTTTTTACAAGTATGTCTGACAGTGATGACTAATGACTACCTAGTTGAGTAAAACGTGTTTTTTTATTCTGCAACTTTTGACAACAATTTCGTTTACTGCTTGTAGTAGGTGTTTCTTTAATGAAATATGTGTCACAGTGATGATTCTTTTTGGAATTATTTTTGATGAACTCTATCCAGTAGAACAGTGTCAAACACCAGGGTACCTGGGTTCAGAAACCCTACCCCTTGTAGAACATGTCAAAAAGTTGCAAAATAACCAATTATTTTCTAGAATAGAGCAGGAAGAAAGCATGACTAAGTTAAAGTTTTAGCGAAAATTTAAACTAAGCAACATACTAGTAACAGCGGGTAGGAAAATCCATCGAATGTGCGTGTCTTCTAAAAGATGAAAAAGAAAAGTAAGTAGTTCACTCATATCCATCAGTTCATGGGCGTGGCTGCTTAATCTGTTTCTTCTGCAATTCTCATGAAGTACATCACTGCCTTGAAACCTGCAAATAATTTATCTGCAACTGTCCTTGCTTTCTTGATTTTGTCTGTGTGCATGATGATATTGCTTAGGAAGTCATGTATTTTCTAATCTTGGAGCCAGTTAATGGCTTCTTTTGCTTCTCTCGGGATATTGAATCTTCTTCCCTTCACTTTATTGCTGAAACTTGGTCTGGTTCCATTCTTTGCCTCTGACCTTGCTTCCTTTCCACTCGAGACGCTTAGACTTGGGAATTCCTTATCCGTTAGGTTTGGGGCTGGGAGCCTTTTCCTTTCCTTTCTTTCAAACGTTTCTTGATAGGCCTTGTATCCATGGTAACTGCTAACATGTCCTTGTCTGCAAAAAATGCAGGTAAGAGTATCTTCTGCTTTTTGAGGTCATAACTTAGTGCTGTGGTTGTCTCCACATTTACAACATCTTTCTTGATATTTGCATAAGTGCTGGCTGTGGCGGTATTCCTGACATCTATAACATTGCATCTGATGCTTTCTGGGGGCAAACTTCTCAATTCGTATATTGATGCTGAACATGTTATTCAGATTGAATATGGCACTTCTGGCAGCATTTCTTGTCAATTCAAAGAACAAAATTGGTCCTTTTTCTGTCACTCCTCATCTGGTTCTAGTGAACTGTCTTACTTTTTGGATCAGGAATTTTCTTCGCAACAGGTCGTTAAAAATCGCTTCTTCAGCGACTGCTTCAGGTATATTCTTTAGGATAGCCTTTACATTTTTCTCACTTGCCAGCTGGTATGTATGGAATGGAATGCCTCTTTTATTTAGTGTTCTCGTCATTTTCCTGTATTTGTCTGAGTTCTTGACATACACATAAATATTGTTAGTTTTCATATTTGCCTCATGTTCTCCAGTACAGAAGTTTTCAAAAATTTCATCCACTTTCAGCCAATACGTCAAATTTTGTTAAAACACGATGGGTGGGGGCATTTCCTTTATAACTCTACCTTCCTCATCCAACATCTTTTACTCCTAGCAGTTTGAAGGGATTTTCATGCGTTATTTCCATGACTGCCTCTTTCTCCAGGGATTTTGCCGTTTTCCTTGGAATTTTCCATTTGCTGTCTGATTTCTCATTATCCATCTGGCTCTCCATCTCTTTCTGATCATCTTCGTCGTGATTGAGTTTCTTAGCATTTTGCATGTTCTGTGGAGCTGTCGCTTGTTCGCCTAGTCCCTTATTCACAAGTCCCAGGAAGTGTCCCATTCCATGATTCCTTATACTTTCCATCAACAATGCAAATTTTACCTGCTCAGTTTGTCCAGAAATGTCTTTCTTTTCTTCTGTGCAAGATTTGCTTTTCTTCTTTTTTCCTTTCTTTACAAAATCATCTTTTTTCCTTTCTTTACAAAATCATCTTTATTTCATTTCGCTGGTTGAGATTTCTTCGATATCCTTGACCTGCCCGTGTCCATTCCTTCGTCATCAGTAGAATCAGCCAGTTTCCTGTAGAAGGACATTTTGTTGTACCCAAGAGTACCTAAATCAAAATTAGAAATCGCAGTAAAAAATAATAAAACACTTCTCTGTTCGTCTACTGGACTGGGACAGCTACTGCACGTATCACGTAAGAATCAGAAAACTGCTTGATGAACTTTAGATGAACTGCTCATGCTTCATATTGTTCCTGAAAATAACCGTTTTGCCGACCAGTATAAGAACCAACATTCTGCAAAAGAAAAATCAAGAACAAAATTGTGGCGTGCAGTCAGTTCAGAAGAAATATATTTTTCTAGGTATACTCATTTTACAAGGTATAACACTGAAACCTGATATTACACTTTATTGGTATAAAAATAAATTGATCGAAACTTTTTATTATAGAAATATCATTTTTATTATACTTTTACTCTAAATTTTGTATTTAATTTTTTTCTTTTATTCTTTATTTTGTGAAAGTGAACAGTTTTTTAGACAGAAAACTTGCACTTATTTTCCCCAAATACATCGGATAACTATGCGCACTTGTGTAAAAAATGGTGGTACTCAGGAGTGAATCTTATATGTTTTCTGCAGCAGTTAATTGGTTAAAATTATTTCCACTTCTATTATTTCATCTTTTCATAATGAAATATAATTTGGATTGTTAATGGCAGTTGTTACAACAGCTTTTTATCTTTTATGTTCAATCTATCTGTCAGTGGCCACCGTTAAGTCTCTTCCCCCCCCCCACATATCTTCTGAGACTATTTCACATATCCCTGAGAATATGTGTACTACTGATTGAAAAATGATAATCTAGATTGAAAAAAATGATGTAGCATATAAGATTTATATTAATGAATTAAACTGCAAAATAGAAATTTCTGCCATATAGTTACATAAAAAAAAAATAAATAAAAACAAGTTTTTCAAGAATTTGAACCCTTTAACAAAAGTTAATTTTATAGACTAAATAAATTGCTATCAAAATGAAAATGCACACTGTAGTTACAGGTAAACCGTTGTGCTATTGTTAACTTCTTTCTCTTAAATTTTTTTTGAAATGTTTCTTGGAAAGTAAAAGAACAGAATAGTTGTTATCTATTTTTGTTGTTTGACTTCTGAATTAGTTGTTATCTGACTTATGCCATTTGTAACATTTTGTATTTTGATGATGATACATTTTTAAAAGGAAAAAAAAGGCTGTAATTATATTACTGCTCTTTTTATCTCAAAGTCTAACAGAATCTCAAAATTCTATTGGGATTTTAATTGTTTTCTCATCTTTTAGGGGTTCAACTGATCCTTATCGGTTATATAACTTGGATGTTTTTGAATATGAGTTGAACAATCCTATGGCTATATATGGTTCCATCCCTTTCATGATTGCACACAGGTAGCAATTTCGCAGACTTTTAAATTTTAGTTTTTGTATTTACTTATGTTAGTTTTTGTTTTAAGTGCTATTTTGTATTGTTAATTTTTATAAAAATGAATGTCATATGGTTATTCTCTTTTAATCTAACCTGAATGCATTTTTAGGATCGAGTAATTATTTGTATATTTAATCAATCATTAATTATATTAAAATATTATTAAACTAGTAATATTTTTAAACTAGTAGTTTTTCAAAATAGATGAAACTTTATGGTTATCAACTATGACCGATAAAAATTGAAATATATTTAATTTAAGCTCTTATGAGCTTGAAATAATGTTAATTAATTGGTCTTATTTTTAATTTCACATTTATATAATTTTGCCATGAGTAGGTAAAATGGATAGGATGTAAAATTAAAACCATGTGCTTTAAGTCAATAGTTAACAACTAAGTCTTATTTCTGAATGTAATTTGTGAATACTAACTAAAGTAATTTTAGACTACTAGTTAAATTCTAAAAAAAAAAAAAAAAACGCTCAGCTTCATAACTCCATGTTGTCTTTTATTAGCCTTACACTTAACCTTTCATTCGCATAATTCTGCAAGAAACTAGTGAAATGGATTTAGCCAGAAAATTAAAGAAATAAATTATCAGCCAGACTGAATTACTTATTTTTTGAGTAGAACACTTGGAAATCTCACCAATATAATATAAAGCTGGTTATTCGTTCAGATAATGCTAAATGTTGTTTGTTGTTCATGAGCATGTTATTTCATTAAAATAAGGAGAATTTGACCATTTTTAAATAATAAAGGTAAAACTGTAATATGAAAGGATCTTTGCTAAGCATAATTAATAAATGAATAATTTTTTTTTTTTTTTGAATTTTTTTTTTATCTGTGTGCATTAGCATTTGTACTTTTATTATCATTATAAAATATTTTAATTAGCATCTCAAACTCATTTGTAATTAATTATATGTGAAATTTATTTTCCATTTCAGTTTATATATGAATATGCTCCTTCTTAGTACCTATTAAATAATATGTGGTGTGTAATATGTTACTGTTTTTCTGAACTGCTGATGTATAAAGATAACAGAATGAACTCTGTTTCAGTGAAATGACTTCTGTGGGCCTGTTTTGGTTGAATGCAGCTGAAACATGGGTTGATGTTGAAGCATCATCAAGTCAAGTAATACTTGCAGTTTGAATGTGTAAATAATAGAATATATTGGTGTCGAAGGTAAATAAGTAATGAATTGCATTTTTAACTCTTGCAGGGTGTCGTTTCTTCTATTGTGGACTTTGTTAAAGGCAACAGTCAAATACCTCAGCAAGATACTCATTGGTTTTCAGAAAGTGGTATTATAGATACATTTTTTCTCCTTGGTCCAGGTCCAAAAGATGTCATGTTTCAATATGCAAAACTGACAGGATCTACACAGTTACCTCCAGTTTGTATTGCATTATTTTTCTACTTAATATTTGTTTTTGTACTTCTTTTACTTGAATTTAATAAATTTTCTTCGTATTTCCTTTTGTGTAAGTTATGCAAATGTAAACCTTGATTTACAAAGTTTGTGGTCTGTAGTTTGGATGACCTGACCATGTTCTGTTTTTTTTGGTTTAGTTTTTTTTTTTTTCATCATTCTAGAAGTTCGGTAAAGATTCCTAAATTCTGTAAGAATGAATAAAATATAATAATTATTATTTACTCTTAAGCAACATATTAAACCAACAGTGTCAATGCAAGCTTATTAAAGCACTTTTGCAAGTGCAACTATAGGTGCTCCCAGTAAAATTGTGTTATTTAATACAAATGTTTAGGTGTAATAATTTCAATAGTTTTATAATGTGAAATTCCTAGATTCAACTATGCTGAAGTTTCAGTTTTTAAAATAAATATAAATTTATATACCATGGTTTATAAAGGTTGCTTCTTTGGTTGCTTAGTAAAGGATTTTTACCAGTAAGAATACTTTCTGATTTGCTTTCCACAGTCTGCTTTCCCACCACTTGGGCAAGAGTTGTTTTATACACATTATTAACTCCTCCTAAATTTTAGTGTAACAGATAACATTTTTGGTTCCTACATTTCTACGCTATTTTTTTTTTTTTTTTTTTTAATCAATGAATTTTGTATTGGAAACAAAGAATTGATGGGAATTTTAAATCTTTTGCAGCATTGCTGATTTAGTTTAACTGGTTGCCACAAATCCATTGACATTATAATTTTTTAAATTATTGTTTTAGATTACTCATTCAGTACCCATCTCACTTGATAATTTGTTAGACTCTGATACTGATAATGAATATTAGGAAAAAGGAAATCTCTAAAATAAATATGAAAAGACAATGTGCATTAAAATGATATTGGTCTCAATCTGTCAATGCTAGGATTAATTTGCTAATGTGTATAAAATATTACGTGTTAAAATATTGCACATGTAGGTTAAAATTTCACATATGTTTATGTAATGATTTAAAAGTTAGCTGTTTATTCTTTGGTATAATAATATAGCATTTTATTTTAATTACCAAGTTACTTTTGTATTTAAAAGTTTGTTGCTTATTTGGTGTGATAATGTAATATGTTGTAATAATTACTAAGTTACTTCTGTATAAAAATTATTCTGCATTCAGTTTATGCGATGATGATCATAAGTGCATAAAAATTGATTATTTTGGCGTTAATATTTCCATCAAGAGTGTGAATGTAGTATTAAAATTCTGGCAGCTCAATCTTGAATAGATTTTTGAATATCCTAAATATCATGTAATCTGATAACACCTGAAAGAAATTTTGTATGTAATTAAAGTATTTGAACTAATCTGGTAAATTAAGCATAATTTATAAATATTTTTAGTTATGGTAGTGTATGAGGAGTGACTGTAAATCAGACAATATGAATGTTTTTACATATTCTCTTCTTTTAAAAAGTTTTGAGTTCATTGTGACAATTAAATGTCAGAGGAATTTTCCTTAAATATACCATTATATTTCCTTCTGTTACTGATTCCAAATAATTTAGGATGCTTTGATATTATTGCAACCACCATGGCATAATTTGGCAATTTTTTTGAAGAAAAAGAATAGTAATTTCAAATCAGAGAAAGTTATTTATTTCATATCATGTATGTTATAAGGTACATATTTTAATTTTAGTTTGATATTTATCCTGGGAAACAATTTATAAAACTACTTACAAATAGGTTTTTGTTTCTTTGTTCTGCATATCTCCTGCATGTAATAATTCTAATCTACCACAGTCCTACCACCCATTTCTAACTCTTCAAAGCAAAATTTAATGCTTCTTAATTCTTTACTCCAGCTATATAAATCTGATTGCTGTAGTAAATGGGAGACGACTACCAATACTGTAACCAATTACCACTTCAAATGCCAATGTGTTTGTTACACGTTTTCATGTTGCATTTCCAAAATAATCATCATCAAATGCAAATCTGAACATTCTCGCCTTTATAGCGCAATATTACATTCCTGTGAAAATTTCACAGAAGTTTCTTCATTTGCAGGCTAATCCCACAAGGGCATATTTCAAAATTCATCTGAAGACCAAAGAGGGTTGCAATAATACTAAAATTGAGTACAATTTGCATATGATCTTTGTGTACATCAAACTTATTCAGTCACATAATTAAACTGTAATAGTATGAACATTAAAAATTATCTGATAATTAGATCTAAAGAAATAAGGTAAGTATTGCTTATCTTATCTTTAAATAAAAGAAAAAAACTATTTCCATTGAACATTTTTTGGTATTAATTTCTTCTGAGAAATTATTATGTAGTTAACACATTATGTAGTTAACATATTATGTAGTTAACAGTAAATGGCATGAATATATTAAGTTATGAATAGTATACAATAATGAAAAATTATATTACTCTTACTAATTTGTAAACAGAATTCAGCATCTTCTAAATTTAAAATTTTTAATTATAAAACTGTATCAAGTGCATCTTTGAAATTCATATGGTCAGAACTAAGCATTAAATTCTTGGGGTAAATCATAGTACATAAGGAAGCACTGAGGTATCCTTGAGGTAAATCATAAAATTCTTTAATTAATGAAAATAAATTGGATCAGTGAGTTTTAAAAATATTGTTACGCTTTTTTCTTCTGACCCCAGTTGTTGCATTATTTTCTTCCTTTACGTTCGTATGGGGTGTGTAGATTTGGAGTGAATAACAATGACACTTGATGAAGTATCGAAACACTCTTTATTTGCCAGTATTGTCAGGACAGCTCCAAAACACATTTTACAGTCGTCTATGAACTACTGTAAACACGCTGACACGATCAGTGACACAGCCTTCAGGTAATTAGGCTATCATGGTGGAGACAGCTTTACTGCAAAGCACCAGAGCACAGCTTTCGACTCTCCTTGGTCGTTCTCGGAACTCCACGTATTCTCGAGACTCTTCACGCTACAACTCACGATGCACTCGACAACACATATAGCACAGCTCCCAACTCTTCGGTTCAGTCATTCCCAGACCTCAACATGCTCTCTCGACAATGCACTAACTGCGATACACTAAGAGATTCCTTCGGTGCACTTGGCACTCGTTGCCCGGCTGTCAACTCGATCGACTCCGCACGGCTCGCTAAGACGAGGCACACTCTCTGAGACACACTGACTGTTGACAAGCAGGGTTTATATAGCTTTTGATTGGTGTTCGAGAACATTCTGGGTTGAATTGGTAAGAATTCGTTCCAGAAAGTTCTCCAACCGTCTATGGTATATCGCCAATTTTGTTGCCAGATGAGCAATTTCTTGCCAAATGTGGCAACCCTGCCTTCCCTTGCCATTTATGGCAACCATAAAACTGCTTTGCGAGGAAGCTATCTTACCGTGCCTGTACATTTCGTAGCAATATAAAGCAGATATGAGAAGTTTTGTTGAGTAAAATATTGGAAATATATTTACATGATTTTTAGGTGAATTAGATCTGAAGTTTGTATTGTGATGATGATATTTAGAATACCATTTGGAATATCATTACCCGCTGTATCAGTTGCTGTCTGATTTTATATAATATGATCCTGGTTGGCATTGTGCCCAAACACTTCAACCACGGAGTATAATGAAGGAGGTGAAACTGCCTAGTAGAAAAACGGTCCTAAAATGTCGCGTTCACTAGATGGCGCTGTTGTTCCATCTTACAGTTCCAAATGTAAACATTTATTGAGTAGCCAGGCGGCGAAGCTTACTACCGAATGAGAAAATGTTTATGTTTTTAATGTCATGGACTACGTTATTATCAACATATATTCTGCTCACTAATGATTGTATTTTATTCCTCAAATTATAAAATTAATTTACAGCTTTCATGCTGTAAGGCTTGTAGTACTTTTTATGAATGATTAATTTGAAGATTTATGAATGATTAATTTAATAATTATTTTTCAGTCCCTTCCCCCTTAGAAAAATAATCATATTACTAGTAATAATACTTGCTGTATATATGTTAAATTTAATTCGCGTCTCTCATTTTGTAAAATTCTTAGATACACAGCTTGATATAAACTAAGGCGAAATTTTAATGAAGCTTATAGAATTTTTTGCTTCAGTCAGTAAATGTTCTTTACTATCATAATAAGTTATTCTTTTTTATGAATCAGATGTCAGTTTTGATTTTGATATTTTTATCGTTTTCTGTTAAAAATTTCCATATCTCGGTTATTTGAGAAGTATGTTTCAAATTGATTTCAAAAGATTTTAAAATAGAATTTGAATTTGAATTCAGTTAAGTAGTCTGAACGCTTGGTTATGCTGAACTATATTATTCATAATTAAATATAAAGAGTAAAAAATATTGACTAATTCAATCTATCTTTAATTTTGTCCTGCTTGAACTAACTTCTAACCAATAAATGCAGTATTTTAACTAAAAATATAATGCAGATCTTTTTTATTTTAAAAGTACATGTCCTCTTTTCTTTCCAAAGGAGGAAAATTTTATCCCATTCAAATAGCCTAAAAGATGAGTTTCTTATGTTCAGAAAAATTTTATCACAGTTATAATGTTATAATATTTTCTCGTTGTTAAGTTTCAAATTGGTACATGTAGCTTTTTTGAAAAAAAATGCTTTGCATGTGTTATGTTTTACTGGAAAAGATCCCCTATTTTTTATTTTCATTTATTGAACAGATCATTTACTAATAGACTCTAATTACATTTGTTGCAAAACTACCAGTTTAATACCAGAATACCTAATGTATGCTTGCTGCGGTATTTAAAAAATATCATTAACTATATAAAACTAAAGTCTGTTTTCTCTTGCAGTAATTATTTACTTTTTTATTCTCAATTTAATATCCTCTTTTTCAACGATTAAAGACTTGCAGTGAAAGAAATAAGTTCAATTAAATAACAAAAATTTAATAAAATGTAACAGTAATTATGTAATATAATCCCGAAACAATTTTAGCAGTATTGTTTTATATTGTTACACACAGGGGTGAGCTATAGGAAGGCTAGAGTTGATTTCGTTAAGTTTGTGGTCAATTTACAAACACCCTGTTCTTTCCCACCAGAAGTTGAACAGCAGAAGAAGTCAGAAGTCACCAAATACTGCTAGTTTGGTCCTGGGTTCGAATCCCGCCTACAGGCTGGCTGCATGGTCAGCCATTCAATTATGTGATTAGGTGGCATGATTTTATAATATTCATAACTTATTTAATATGCTGAATTTATCTCATGGAAAATCAATTTTTCATTACACTTATCTGCTGTTATGTTTTCACTTAACCATGCAAGTAAAGTTAATTTTAAGCAGCACAGTGTTCATTTCCAAACGGAAAAAAAGGGGAAATGAGTTAATCTTCTTTTCTGTAAATGAAATAAAGAGGCAAATATTCCATCATTCTTGAGTAATTCCAGAAATTTATTTAACCTTAAAATCTCAGGATTGCCTGCTTTCATGCACGAAATGCAAATGCACATAAGTTATGTGAAATATTTAACTAATTTCCAATTTAAAGTTCTGTGAAATATTTAACTAATTTCCAATCTATTACTTTTTAAATACCCTCTTATTTACTAGCAATCCAGACGTTCTGTAAAGTTATATAATTCGTCTGACTGTGATCAGGCATGATATAAATGTTGCTCACCTTTGGAGCTCTAAATATACTTGGATTCTTGATTCCCAAGCTTTTATTCTTCTGCCTAACAGATGTATAACCACTGTTGCATCCAGGGACGAAGCAGGTTGCATTACAAGAATTACTCATGATGGAAATTGATATCAAATCAATATTTTCTGTATTGCTGCCTATGTCAAATCCTACGAAAAGTAGAAAAGCTAACGATTGCAGCGCCCTCTATAAATAATGCGACAAAAGTGGACCATTTTTGAGAAAAGTTGTAATACCAGTTTCCCCTCCTTCTTTATACTCCGTGACTTCAACAAATACATCAGTCGGAAAAAATAATTTCACTGCAGGCCAAAAAGTTATTTTTTAGTGCATCATGTGGAGGGGACCATAGTGATTTTCTGTATCGTCCCTGTTGTTTGCAGGATGCAATGTGTGTTGGGGGGTGTAAATACCTCTCAGTAAGAATTTTTAAAAATATTACAATTTTTAGAAACATAACAAACCCAAAATGGGTTCTCTTTCTATTGGTTATCAAATGATTGACATGTATACTGTTTCCTTTTCAAATAAAAATTTAGGCATTAAGTTTCCTTTTCCTATGCTCCCTTTTTTATCAGTCTTTTTGTCTCAACAATATTCATATTTCATTGTTTGTTTAATTTCTAAATTAGACAATGAAATATGAATTAAATAAGCTGCTAGAAATGATCAAATATTATTTTTCTTTGAATATGTATGCTTTCTAGCATATCTAATGTTCTCAGGTTGATCACTCGATCGTTTTGTATGTGCTCGCCAGCCCGATTAGGTACTACGAACAAAAAATATTTTAAGAATAACCATTCATTTATATTTCTTAATTGTTAAAGTATGGTAAGCATTTATTGTCATAAGAGATATCTTGCAAGACGTTATAAAATAATTTATTGCTGACTGATGAACTTGATAGTGAACATGGAATCTTGATAGTGAGCATGGAATCTTATTGCTTCATTCTGATGATAGATGGCTCAGCAGGAAAAAATACTTCAATGACTCGTAGAACTTCTTTCGCCAATAAAGCAGTTTTGGGAAGCTGGAAAGGGAAGTTATAAAGAAATGGACGATAATAATTGGTTATCCGATCTGTACTTTCTCACGGATATAACATTTAAACTGAACAAACTGAACGAAGATCTCCAGGGAAAAGAAAAAACCCTTTTTCAGTTGAGTGGGACCGTAACTGCTTTTCAGATAAAGGTAAATTTGTGGATAAATCAGATGAAAGAAAAAAAATTCACCTATTTTCAGAATTTATCTAGCCATATTAATAATCACAAGGTAATTGAAACACAGAAATACTCTTAAAATCTAAATGCACTGAAAAATAATTTTGAACTCCGCATTTCCATAAAGTTCAACCAATTAGTATTTCAGATGTATCACATAGGATTGGAAATATGTTTAACAAAAATGTTGATGCTCGTGATAGGCCAAAATGTGCTCATGAGAGGCCAAAGGTTGGGCATCACTGGCTTAGATGATCAGGTCATATGATGCAGGTGCCAAGACAGACATCCAGTCCTGTGAGTAGCAGTTTGTAAGCAAAGATCTCTGGCTAGCATTGATGATAATGTAATGCAGAAATAATAAAATATTCCCAGTGTAGAACAATTGCCTTACTAAATCAAATTCTCATACCCATATGAGTACTGCTGATGGAAATATCTGGCATATTATGACTCTGCACTGCTATGGAAATTGAAGGATCTGAGGTGTTGTAAGCATTGATGTCTGATCCAGGAACAACCCTGCTGATTGTAAGTAGGAAGTGAAAATGCGAAATGCACTGAATTGGTGAGGAAGTAAGGAGGAATTTATTCAGAGGTATATTAATAACTTACTTATTTATTCATTAACTTATTCATGCCACCTGCAGAAGCTGAAAAACTTCAGCGTGCGAAGTTCATTAGTCATTTTTTTTAATTGATTAGCAACATTTAATATTGAAAATGGTACAGAATATATAAATTTAAAATGCATACGCATAATGTTATATTTTAAGAAAACAAAATTAAACAGTGCAAGTCACCATATTATATTATCACATATAAATATTAATTGTTTATTTAGGTGAACTTTGAACATGACTTTTAATGTCTTCCTGCTGTATTGTTGCCATATTTTAAAAATTTGCTGTATATTCTATGAAATTTTATTGGTGAAATTAATACATCATGCACTGACATAGATGAAAATTTTTTGGACCATGTTGGGTAGAAGAACACTTGCTGTCAACTTAATTGCTGGTCCTGAAGGATTATTATTTAGTAATATGGTTTATACATTTTGCCATATAAAGTCATAAAACTTCTTGTATATTACTTATTAATGTAAAACGAACATTTTACTAATTGGACTACTTACTGTTCAAGGATTAAAAAAATATATACAGTCAAAAGTCGTTAATTCGGACACCCATAATCCGGAATGATCTATAATCCGGACCTCAAAGCTAAAAACTTTCTGCGCATGCGCCATGTTGACACATACGCATACGCGTTTACGCGTGCATGTAAGACCTCTTACGACTGCGCATTTGCGTGTGCGCAAGCGCAGAATACGTTTTCGCATGCGCGTTTTATGTATAACGAACGGTATAAGCTAAAATTATCTAATTATCTATATCAATTAATGTTGATGATTGCGTTGTTCCTTAATTTTCGAATTGGATCTGGCTTATTATTTTTTGCAGACTGTAAGAGCAATACTATAAAAGTAAACTTGAACTTTCGATTATGTCAAATAGAATTTCCAAATCTGGAGCTCCCAAAGGATCGTACAAAACGAAAGTATGTTTCGATGTCCATCAAGCAAAAAGTGGAATTGCTGCAAAAAATGGATAAAGACATGAAGAATGTAACAGAGAGGTTAGTGAAAACGAAAAAATTTCGATTGTCAAGTTAGTCGGTATTCTCGGCACGGCAATTAACGGGACTTGAACAGCGGAACTTTGTAACTGAACAAAAAATTCTGTCTGTTTATAGAATTAAAGAGAAAGTATTATCACATAAAATGAAGCAACTTAAACAACTTACATTGAAAGAAATGTTTAATAAAGTAAACAAATAAATATTAAGCTTTTTTTTTTTTTTTTTTTTTTTTTTTTTTTTTGGTAAATTTTGATACCCTTTAGATCATAATTGTTCTTTATTTCATAAATTACGGTTTCATATTTTTAATTTTAGAATTCCTGCATGCTATCTTACGCGATTTAAACTGACGATCTATAATCCGGAATCGCCGAAGTCTCGACGAGTCCGGATTAACGACTTTTGACTGTATATTATTTAACAAAAACCCAAGTGCTGAAACAGTTTTTTTAGAATTTTCTGTCTGATTTTAAGGAGCATTAATAGAAGTGTGTGTTAAAGATCTATATTTTAAGCAAATAGAACTTGTAGACACCATTTTTAAACACTCTGTATATTTATCTATATATTATTCCTTCATTTTTGATTTATAAAAAATTTGATAGCCACACAGTTTAGCTGTTCTGATATTCAACTGTTTCATTTAGTTTATGTGCTAGAACTTCTTGTTTTGTGAAATCACATTCGTTTAATTTTTGTTATAATTTTATTAAATTACATTTATTCAAAAAAAATTTGCTATAATTTTCTGAAGTTATATTTTAATTTTTAGCTTTTTGCATTGGGTTATCATCAGAGCCGATGGAACTATCGCGATCAAGATGATGTCAGAAATGTAGATGCAGCATTTGATGAACATGATATTCCATATGATGTTTTGTGGCTCGATCTTGATCATACACATGATAGAAAGTTAGTATTTATGCAATATTGGAAAATGATATTTGTAAAATGTGGAGAAAAATGTTGTTTCTTGTTTTAAAGAATGGCATTTACTGCTATTAATATTTGTAATACGAATTCATTCTTAATAAAGCGGGGAAAAAAATTTTGCTGCTGAGAAAGGACATATAGCTCATCACTAAGTTTTCTTAAATATCTGTGCCAGCCTAATTTTGCTTTTATGCCTTATTTTAATGTGTGTGTTTCATTTTTGTGTCATGTCTTCATTAGTATACCAAGTTAGAGTTCCTTGGACAAATGTTCCAGTTAGAAATTTAAAATTAGACTAAATACAACTATCGATTGGTTTTATACTATACATTGAGCTTTATAAAACTAAACTGCATTTTAAGTGTTTAGCTTGTTTTTTTGTTTAATATTAAGCATAGCAGGAGAATCGGTTTTTTTTTTTTTTTTTTGTCATTCTGCCTTTAATGAGAAAATTCTCCATTTGAAGATGGAAGAAACATGGAAGTGGAAAGAAGTGTCTACTAAAAAAATGCAGGTCCTATAAATAGTTATGAAAATTTTATAATTTTATAAATGAATATCTGAGAAAATGAGGTAGATTCAAAAATAATTAAATAAACAAATAAAACATGAGAAAAAGCAAATCAATGAGTGTTCTGTAAATTTAAGAAAATGTACCCCTTAATCATAGACACCTTATGATTATGTGTTTTCAGATTCCCCATTTATATTTTGTATATATATAATATTTTGATATTTACGGAAAGTGAAACATTTGAAAATTCATACAAAATATTGTTGTTTTTTCCTTTAAGAGCAAAATTTTGTTGTTCTACTCATGAAAATAATTGCATAAATTTGCAATTTATTTTTTGTGTCATGATTTGATTTCATTCAGTTTCAGTACTGATTTAATGAAATAAATGTTAATTCATAAAATTGTACTTGATTTTTTTTTTCCCCTAAAATGTATTTTGTCTGCTTGCAGATATTTCACATGGGATCCATATAAGTTTTCTGACCCTATTGGTATGTTGAATAATCTTACTTCAAAAGGTCGCAAAATGGTTACCCTTGTAGATCCTCACATCAAACGTGATGGTAATTATTATATTCATAAAGAAGCTACTGATAAAGGATACTATGTTAAAAACAAAGAAAATCAGGATTATGAAGGTTGGTGTTGGCCTGGCTCATCTAGTTATTTAGATTTCTTAAGCCCTGAGATTCGTGATTGGTGGGCTTCAAAATTTTCTTTGGATCAATATCAAGGTTCAACCTTATCCTTGTATACCTGGAATGACATGAATGAGCCTTCTGTATTCAGTGAACCAGAAGTTACCATGCCAAAAGATGTGAGACATGTGGGTGGCTGGGAGCATAGAGATGTTCATAATATTTATGGAATGTTAATGGTAAGTTACATATGTAAAATATTTGTAAAATATTTTTTCTTTCTTTTTTTAACATGTTTTCAGCTAATCTAGATAGCCAGTTTTATTATGATATAATGTATATTTTTCCAACATTGCTATTATAAAGTTGGAGAATAATTTTTTTTAGTTTTTATTTAAATATTTTCGTTCATAATTTGTTTTTCAAATCATTTGTAATTTCAGTTAAAATAATAAAATGTTTCTTCTTGTGTGTGTTACCTATTAACCCTTTGCAAGTGAGGATCATTACTCATTGTATTCAAATGAAAATTGTTATTACAATATTTTTTGTAACTTGATTGGAGATGAGTAATGGCATTAAGAGTTAACTTTTGTAATTGTACTTTAATCATAAAATTGATAAGTTTATTTTATTTGACAGCATGATAGCCTCCATTTACTTAACAAATGCCCCCCTCTTTTTTTTTTTTTTTTTTTTTTTATAAAGTTCATCAATATTTAAAATTTTTCATTTTAATATACTAAAACTTTTGTATTTAATTTTTTGAATAAATGTATTAAACCACAAAACTTAAAATGGGTTAAGAAAAAAAGCGATTTTTTTCCAGGCTGTTTTAGGTTAAATAAGCTTACTATAATCTGCTTCAGACAACCCTGCCAACAATTTTTGACATACCTTTTTTATTGAATTGCATTGAGATTTTGTTTTTATATTTTTAAATTTAAATACCTGTCATGGTGATTTTAAATCCAATAACTAGGAGTAACTGAAGAACTCTTAATATCATCACTTAGACAAGACTTGAGTCACTGTGAGACATTGTGCATTAGCTAATGAATCAGCTCTTGAATTGAACAGTACTGAACACACTGAACTCTGTATTTAGTTTAACTAGTTAGTGTGCTGAACTCAGCAGCTTGTATTCTCTCAGATTTTGTATGTGCATTAGTTATATTATATGTGGGGAGGGGCAGTCAAACCATGCATTGCTTAAAAACTTGTGTGTTTAGAAAGAAAGGCAGTGACCTTCACCTTCCACATACCTGAAAGTTTAGTAACCATGCAGCATTTGACCAGTGAACAGTGAGGTTTCACTTTTGTGAATGAGAACACTTATCCAACAAAATGGAGTAATTAGTCACACAGCTGAGAGGACAGTGGACCTTCAGAATTACTTTTCCTGAACCACCTCATCAGTAAATTTTTAAAAAGTGAAATCCTTTTTTTAATACAAATTTCCCTTTGTGCTGTTAACATTTGTTGCAATAAATGAAAAAAAAAAGTTCTTTTAATATCTATAAAAAATGGGGTTTGGCTGCTCCACCCTGTATGTAAAAATAGAAGTTATTCAGATTTATGAATATAATGATCTTTTATTCTTTTGTAAGGTATGATAATTTTTAGTTTAATTAATTAAGGGATTTCAGTTAAGATGTGTTGTATTCTGTGTAGACAGTTTTTGCTATAAGTCACTTTTACTGAATACAAATAAGTGATGTTCTTATACCGGGTGGCCATACTTAAACTGACAGTGCTCACAGTGTTCTGTAGCACGATCTATTTGCGAGAATGACGCCACATTTTGTAGAAAAATTAAACAAGACGGGGGACGAAGGATTCTGCGAAAAACAAATTAGTTCCAAAAGTCACCACTAGGGGAATATTTGGCGCTGTGTAATAGAAAATAGAGTGTTAACAAATGCAAATCAATACGGAAATTACCTTTTATTTTGCATTCAAATGTGGTTCGATTTGGCTGATATGTGATGGCTGATCCGTGATATGTTATCCTTCAACATAGCCAGGTCCTGGACTCCTTGATAGACCTTGGACTTAAGGTAACCCCATAGCTAGAAGTCGCATGGGGTAAGATCAGGCAACTAATGTGGCCATGCAGTTGAAAAGTAGCGGCTAATGACTCATTCTGTAGCATCTGTTGCACCCATACAGCAACGTGTGGAGGGGCTCCATCTTGCATTAAAATGATTTTCCCCAGGCATTGTCTTTGCTGAAGTGCCGGAATGACAAAGCTGTTCAACATGTGGTGATATATCTCTCCGGTAACAGAACAGGTTTCTGGTCCTGTCGGGGTAATGTTCTCCTAGAAGAATGGGCCTACGATAAATTCTGCTGTGAATCCACACCAAACAGTTACCTTTGGTGAATGTAAGGGAATTGCTGTGACTGCATGTGGTGATTTGGCATCCCAAATTTGGCATTTCTGGGTATTCACAGTTCCATTCAGGTAAAAATGGGCCTCGTCTCCCCATAGGATTTTCCACGGCCAAGCATCATCCACCTCCATTCTGGCAAGAAAGGTGAGAGCAAAAGTCAATCGCTTATCATGGTCGAGGTACTAACTCCTGTACGGATAGAAGTTGATAATCTTTCGTAAGATTTTCCATACCATACTGTAAGGCATATCCATATTCTGAGCTACTCCACGAGCGCTAGAGGTGGCAGCAATATTGTCTAGTCCTCTGTTGACAATCGCCGTGGCAACTGCTTCGATTGTATCCTGTGGTACAGGTTTTTGTCCTCTGCCTGACTGAACCTTCAGAGAACCTGTTTTCTCAAACGTCGCAACCATTGCTTTTTAGCCCATTAACTGACACAGGACCGTTACCTTTACACATTTTTTTGTGCGTTCTAAAAGCACGAAGAGCGCATGACGTGTTGCACTGGTTGAGGTAAAAGAATTTGACCAGTAATGCACGCTCGATTAAAGAAGGAGACATTGCACATAAACTTTCAATCCGATTGATTCGAAACGTAACACATTGCCTTTTAAAACCCAAGCAGCTGGCACTGTGCGAATGGATGTAACATGAAAATTGAATAAAGTACTTCTTCTGCTCAGCGTATGTGATATTGCAGATCACAAGACTTTATCAGTGTTTATGTAGATTTTACGCTTTTTTAAAAGTGTTGCCATATTGCACTTGAACTAAATCAGAAAATGTGCATAATAAAAGGTAATTTTATTTGCATTTGTTAACACTCTATTTTCTATTACACAGCACCAAATATTCCCCTAGCGGTGACTTTTGGAACTAATTTGTTTTTTCGTGGAATCCTTCGTCCCCCGTCTTGTTTAATCTTCCTACAAAATGTGGTTTCATTCTCGCAAATCGATCGCGCTACAGAACACTGTGAGCCCTGTCAGTTTAATTATGGCCACCCGATATCAAAAAAAAGTTTGTTTTATGCTTCTGTGCTGAGATTCTTATGCTGTTATGAAAAGAGTCTTCAGTCCATGAGATATTTTTTCATTCTATGAAACACTATGTGAAAATTATTTTTCTTAGCATTGTGCTCCCACCAGTGGCCAGCTACTGACTACTGGTAGTTTATCCTGGATTTGTGCCCATGTAAATGGTTTAGCTGGATAGTTGGTTTTCATGGTCTTCCACATCCCATGTTAATATGAACATTCCTGTTAGAAAGGTCCTCCATGAAGTCATCCCTGCTGTTAAGTCCCTGCTCATGGTCTTCCCCATCCCATGTTAACCCTTTGGCCTGTAACCCCGATTCTGACTCATGGTAAAGAATTTGTGTCCTAAACAAAAACCACAAGACTGACTCGTGGTAAAGAATTTGTTTCATAAACAAAAGCCATGAGTCTGATGACTCGTGGTGAGGAATTTGGTCATAAAATGCCACATATTATTATTAAAACAATATTTTTCCTCTTATTGTAACATCAGTATTTTTTTTCAGTTGTTTCTGATGAAACTGAGTGATCTGTTACTTTAGTTCCCCGTAAAGCTTTGTTACATTCACACGTTTCAAATATAATTCCGTACAAAGAATTAAAAAAACTCTTGTACCCTTCATGCCAAGCTGTTATACCCATCATACCCATCATTCAATTATTTTTGTCAACTGATCAATTGATATGATTATGATTACACCCTAGACGTCTTAAAATTACTATAAAACATTGTTTATTATTTCAAAATTCCTTTTTTTACACTGAAATATACATTTTGCACCAGTTCGGGTACACGGCTGAACAGTTGAATGGAATGGCATGCGACCAGTTTTCTTGATTACTATAGTTCATGCAATTGGAAGATATCGTGTAGGCCAAGGACTTAACATGAACATTTCCTGTTATAAAGGTCATCCATGCTGTTAGGCAGATAGCCCTGTATGTTTTATCATATTCAAATGACCTGATTATATTAGCATGGTTTGTGGTATTTTTCAGCAGTGTTAACCCTTTCAGGATGGATGTACCATATACGCATTCTCTAAGAATGTCTCTTACAGCCGGGCGTCCCATCCACGCATCACTAGAGATTGCATTCAGAGGACGGGTGATGCGTATACAAATTTAAGCTGGAACGTTTTTCTGAAGACCAGTAGATGTCATCCTATGTCCATTACTTTTGAAATGAACACAGTTTTAGGTTCCTGACCTTGAGTTTGATATATTCTGCCTGACTGCTATTTTACTCATCAACTGTTGCGAGAGGGAAGGGAAAATGTAAACAGAGGTAGGCTCTTTAAATTGTTGCATGTCTGGTTTATATTCCTTTTTTTTTTTTTTTTCCCTGTACTATGTATAGTCTTTTAGGGTTACTATGTGGCGTTCTGTTACGTTTTGCATTGCCTTCAGATATATTTCCATTTCTTCTCTTTTTATTTTGGAAAGTCTCACCTCCAGTCTATTATGGCTTATCAGAGGAAGAATACCCTTGTATGGTTAATGAACTATTTACTGGAACTATTACATGGATGACAGTGATGATTCACTTTCTAAAGAGTTAGAAATTGATACTTTTTCTAAGAGTTAGAAAGTGATTCTTCTCCGTGCTTCGAGGTTTACCACACTCAGTCTTCATTTTAAATTTTGTTAATTCTTACTGTAAATAGTCTTTATTGTGTTGTTTTATTAATTTTAAACTTTATGGATTGATTTTATCAATTAAAACTTTGGAATAATTTGAATAGAGCTTCCGAAAATTATTTTACAAGCTAAACAATTTTTTAAGTATATTTTCATGTAAAATAAAGAAAAAAAGGTTATTAAGTGCTAATTTTGACATATATAAGAGCTCAAGTAATAATGTAAAATGATACCAAAAATTACAATGCTAGAAGTGAAACTTTTTTTTTTCTGATTATTTTTATAAAATTAGGCTTAGCGATGCAAAACCTACATCCTGTACGGTCTTTGATTCCCTTCTCATGAGCATCTTAAAAAGGTGCACCATCATGAAAGGGTTAAAAAGTAGTCTAACTTAAGAAAAATGAAACATTTATTTGTTCTTCCTAATACATAATCCTTGTTATACTACATTGTAGTAAAACTCATACTTGATAACAGGCAAACATTTAAAAAGTGTATTTTATGAATTTCATGTGTTTGAGAGCTGTTAGAATAAAATATTACTGTTCATCAGTTCTAGTGCATCTTGTTTTTTCATATGAATATTGCTAAAAATGTAATATGTCTCAGAATCTGAGAACATTAGTAAATTACTCAAACTATTCCACTATTCCAAATGCTAAAAACACTATTTCAAATTAATTAATATTTCCAAAATACTAATTTTATTGAATACACTTTTGTTATTAATAAAGCAAAGCCAGTTATAAAAAATCTATTTTTCTCATGTAATTAGCCCTTTAGTTATTTAAGTCAATCCCTTTTCTTCTCCTGTGGCTCATCAGAAGCCAATTACTAAAGTCACTGGACACTGGTAGTTCAACCTGGGTTTGCTTTGAGGCATTGGGACTAACTGCATGGGTATTCTTTATTCTCCTCATGTTTAGCATGGATACAAGCCAGTTTCCACAGGTAGTCCTGCAAAAAAGCATCTCTTCCCTTAGACATATAGCACTCACATACTTTCATACATGGTCAAGTAAACCAGACCAAATTAGTCTTCCCCTGCATTGTGTGGTACTGAAATTAAGAGATTCATTTTAGAATTGAATATATATGTGTAAGAAAAATAAAAAATATGTAAAAGATTAAATTAGCAGCGAAAATTAATTCCCTTCTGTATTTTAAAAATAGTAACTTCTATTTGCACTGCGTCATTTCAAGAAAAATCCATGTTATATGACTCTTACATAATTCTGATGATGTAAATGAAACTAAAACTCAAACAGCCAATAGTAATTTTACAGCAATATTAATCATCTAATCAAAATTCATTGAGAACCAAAACTAACTCAGTCTAAATTAAGATTTTACTTTGAACATAACACACTTGCTTTCACCTCTTTGGCTTGCTTTCACCTCTTTGGCTTAGCTGTCTGTCTGCTTGTTCTTTTTACTGCAAATCTATCAAAAATAAGCTTTCTGGAATAGGCACAATAAATGTGCCAAACAACATGTTTACTGAAATAAAAGTTAAATTATATACCTTGACTGCCAAATTTCTTATTCCTTGTGGATCGGGTGTTTCAGCATTCTATGACATCGAAATTCTCGCTGTTCATTGTGGATACAACCATCTGTGTACTACTACAGAAATTATTACACACACACACACACACACACACATATATATATATATATACACACACATTTTAATTTATTTAGTGAAATTTTTAATTTCAATTAAATGTCAACTTCTTCCTTAACTTTTAATATTTTGCTTTTAAAATGTGCATAGTTTAAGTAATTTACTAACCTTTTCAGATTTTATAACCACTCTCTTCTTTTTTAGTTTTTAAGTTTTTCTGTTTTAATTAATCATTTTTAATTAAATCATTAATAACCATTTAAGTAAAAGTGCTTGTGTGCTATGTTAGATATCAAGATTAATGTGATTATGTCATTTGTAATTTATTTTTTATGCAACTTTTTTTTAAATTTCATCATGCAGAATTATAAAATTAATTTCTGTTAGGTTATGGGTACTTACAAAGGTCATTTAATGAGAAGCAATGGAGCCCAAAGGCCTTTCATTTTAACAAGATCAGTGTTTGCTGGTTCTCAGAGATATGGCAAGTTCCTCTTGTTAATGATATATTATTAATAGCTTTTATTTTAATCATACATCATCCTTATGCTGATGTGTCTCATTTGATCTGTGTATTTAATGGCCATTCAAGAATGAAAAAAAAAAAAAAGCAGTTATCAACATACTAATTAAGCCTTTGAGCATAATTTAGCATTTGTAAAGCATTAGTACATGTAAGGGTGAATATCTCAATTGCAATGTGCTAAAAGTGGCACAATGACATTTTTACCAAAGCATAAATAAATATAAGTAAAAGTAAATGAATTAATAAATAATTATAAAGTAAAAATAACTGGTGTTTTATTTCAGTTTATAGTTCAAAGAGGCTTTGTTCCAGAGGGACTATTGTTTTCGTTTTGCGATTTTGTGTTGAAATCACTCTGAATGTCCGTTTTACTTTTCAAACTGTTACCACTAAATATTATCACCCTGTATTATATTTGAAGAAATTAAATGATGAAGAATCTGTATAAATGGTATGTTTCTCGCATTGTGATAAAAACAATGATACCTAGAGCCATCAAATTTTGAATAACGTACTCCTGCAAATATGGGTATCTGGAAGTCCAAATTTGAAATTTGGAATTTGTTTTATTATCAATTTCATACTTTGTAAAACTTTAACGAATTTTTGATTAACAAACTCATGGATTTCAAAGCGAGCGATTGGCAACGTTGTACAGAAAAAAATTTTTTATCTTCAGCGCGTGAGACGGTGTATCGAAAATTCTAAAGATATGCTCAATTTTAAATTATTTTGCGATATTGCTCTTGAACTAAATTTTGTGGTTTAAGTGTGAAGAACATAATATTTAATAAAAGAAAGGTAAGAGACAAAATGTTAAAAAAATGCCCCTTTGATGTAATTTAAAAGTGTAATAACAGTGGACCACTGAATATGTTGAAGCAATCAGCTAGTCCGCCCCCACACACATAATCTAAAAATAACAGTGTGTTTTTACTTCCTTCAGAAACTTACTTGCTTCAGTGTTTTTTTTTTTAATAGTCTAAGTAATATATAAAAGAAAAGAATCATCAAATAATTTAAATGTTATTATTCAGCTGTGTTTATGTACGCCTCTGACTGATGTATAAGCCTTTAAATGAATTTTAATTTAAGTGTAATTTTGCCTGCATAAAACTTAGCATAGTATAATCCCTGTGTAGCTCAGAAAGTAGTTGTATTTGTCTTCTGTTCTCTATATGTTTTGTAACATGATTTTCTTACTTGGGTTTTTGATTCTTATTATTCACATATAACTGTAGGTGCTGTTTGGACAGGAGATAATATTGCTGACTGGGCACATTTGCAAATAACCGTTCCTATGATTTTAAGCTTGAGTGTAACTGGTTTATCTTTCTCTGGAGCTGATGTTGGTGGTTTCTTTAGAAATCCATCTCCAGAACTCATGCTGCGATGGTATCAAGTAAGGCAGCGTTTTTTTTTTTTTTTTTTTAATCATATAAAGCATTGTATAATATGCATGTGTGCAAAGATCTTTCAACTGCGAATGTCTACCGTACCCACTGCTCAACTTCGGTTCTAAAGGTATTTAAGTTTATTAAATGGCTAAATTTAATAAACAGCCATTTGTGCTTTGCAAACTGGGATATCAGTTTTAAACTTTTCAAGTAAAATGATAACAATTAATCCATTTATGAATCTTAAAATAATAATTAAAAATTATTGCTGAATTTAATATAGCCATTTGTGCGTAGCAAACCATGATATCAGTTTTAAACTTTTCAAGTAAAATAATAACAACTAATCCATTAATTAATCCTAAAATAGTAATTAAAAATTATTACTAAAATGCAATTCATTTAAAACTTTTTTATAAAAGTATTTTTACTTGTATTTGTTTCATATTGTTCAACAACAGCTTTTGAATTAATTGTCAATTTCGTAAAACTGCTGATAGCTTTATCAATCAGCATCTTCATAGAATTTTCAGTTTTTTCTAGATTTGACTGATGATGGCATATCATTGCTTTTTCCTGTATCACTTTCACAGTCAGTTTCTCCGGTTTGATTAACAGAGTGCTAGTTTTTGTACACAGTGTCAATATTGTTGTGAATTGATACATATTCTAAAAATGAACTCTCATAGCTTCCCTCACTGATGTCTGAAAAACTAGCTATAACTTGCAATTCCTTGAAACTTCTTCTACATAAAATAACTACATAAAAGCCATGTTTTTTAAAACATTTTTTTAGCTAATTTCAGAAGAATAACCCCTTGCATTGACTATTATATGCACAGCTGTAACAAAGATCTAGCCATTCTAATCTACTTCAAAGTGCTTGCATTTTTATGAAATTCCATTTTGTTCATTATTCACTGAACATCTTTTCTATAATGGTATTTAAAACTTTTTATAATACCCTAAAATTAAAGGTAAGATGTTAGAAGTTGTATTCACAGAAAGACAGACTTCAGTTTTTCAGAGAGATATCAAAAGTGCATGTGCTTCACAGTTATCTAATTAGTAAATTTATTTTTAATTTTTCAGTGTTTTCCATCATATTTCAAAAGAAAATCAGCAAAAATACATAGTATCCGCAACATCCTTTTGAAGAACGTGTTGAACTCATCTGTTGTTGAAGAACTTGTTGTTTGGGAATAGAACAACTTTATTTATACCTTTGGTACTGGTAACACTTTCACAAGCAAAGTTCAAAGCTTTTATAACAAGTGACATAAGTTACGTAGCCTCATCATGCGACAAAATGAATTTTGGTTGATGGTCCTCCAGTTGTATGCAAACTTAAGTAATCGATGCATGGAGGTAAACTCTGGCTGTTACTGTTTGTTCATTGAAGAAAAATTCTCCTATTATCTTGTCATGTAATATCTCCCACAAATTATTCAGTACACCCTACACTATTTGTCATACTGCTATGGCAAGTTAGAAGTAAATTCTTTGATTCATTCAAACATTGAAGTTTCCTGCTTTAGTCAGTAAACATGGGGTTTGTACAATCCTTAAAAGTCCTTAAGTTTTTGGAAATGATTTTTAGTCCTTAAAAGTCCTTAATTTGATTCATCTGACATTTCTGTCTATTTTAATGGCTGTCATTTTGAGTATGAATTAATATTTTGGTAGAATATTTTTCGGTTTCTTAACAAATATGGGGTTATCATTTGAATTTTTTCCTACTACTACTTAATAGGGCATGCGGCCCTGTATCGATTGAAACGTTAACATTTCAAAATTATTTCTTTTTTGAAAGTGAAGAGTTCCTAAAATATTACATCAAAAACATTATGTCGCTTCTTTTACTATGTGGCACTAAATTTGGTGATTTCAAATCGGTTCTTACACAAAATTTTTTATTTGGATATTTGGGAATTTTCCATTGATTTGCTTTTTTAACAAACATAATAAAATTGATAAATATCATAAAAATAATGATAATATATTCAAGAAAGAGCATAAAAAAATAATTGGTCTCAAATTATCACATGGGAAAATAAAAATCCATGTTTTAAAATGACATTACATATTGGTGGCTTTAGAATATTTTGATTCTGAAAAGTAAATGATACAATAAATGGTATGAAACACAGTTTCTAAAGCTCTTCTTAGCAAAAGAAGCTATTTTAGTTATTTTAAAACAAATTTCATTTTTCTTCTTTAATACTTCTTCGTTCGATTCTTTTCTATGTAGTTGTTTCAAAATATTCAAATGTGTGTCAGTTTTCTCTTAAAAATTCTCTGTACAATTTTCTTTTTTGAATTTTTTATCCAAAAATCTTTTGGCTTTTGCTATTACAGAGTTGGGAGGGATAAGTTTTAGGCCTTGCACCTGAGAAGGTTTAGAAGGATTTGAAAGTAAGATTTAGCCTACGATACCAGAAGATTCTAGAAGAATCTGACCAATGAAAGGTATTTTCATGGTATTAACATGTAATGAACATGTGTGACAGGAAATTTGTGATGAATTTCTTATTTTATGGAAAAATTTTTGAAGACCAGTGGAAACAAAGTTATTTGAATTTTCTGCTTTTGATCCTAGAAGTCTTCCTTTTAACATGCTTAGCTTCCCTTTACTTTTGCATCTTTTCACTAGACATAAGCATAGAAAGTTGTGAAAGTAGTTCTAATCTTGTCACATGGACAGGACATGAGATTCTTCTATTAATAAAGAAATTGAAAACTGACAATTAAAAGATGCATATAATATGTCACACTGCAATATACACAGAGTAGTTTGCCACCTGGTATAATCTGTATGAGTTCTGAATTCTGCTGCCCAGTGTGTATTCTAAATATTATTTTATTTATTTTTTTTTAATTAATTAATTTATTTATTTATTTATTTTTTTTCCCTTATTGCTTGACTAACTATAAAAATTCTGCCACACTGGCTTTGTTATGGGCCTTAACCTTACATCATTTCACATCAATTTCCAATGCTCATATTACTAAAGAAGTAAAATTACCATCTTCTATACATTTTAAGTACAGTTTTCATACAGTTCCTTAGAATAGCAGAAATATTCAATTAAATCTGAAATTCTAAAATGTAAAGAAATGTATTGAGAAAGAAGTTGATTACATAAAGTGAAGAAAAATGTTCTTCAAAGGTATATTTTTAAAACATTAAGATATTAAGAAATGAAGTGGAGACTAGTGGGAACATTAATTTGTTTGTTGGAATGAAAAAGATGGTAAAGAAAAGAAAATCGATATAAATTAGTTAAAAAATTTTGAAAAGTTTCAAATTAAAAAGATGCATAAATATTTTGTTGTGTGTTACAAAACAAACAACAAACATACATACATGTATGTAAGAGATTTATGTTGTCAAATTTTAAGCTGGATTCTACTCTTTATAGGCTGGAGCTTATCAACCGTTTTTTAGAGCTCACTCACATCATGAAAGTAAACGACGAGAGCCTTGGCTTTTTGATGAGGAATATAAGCTGCTTATGCGGGATGCCATTCGTGTCAGATATACTCTTCTACCTTATTGGTATACTCTATTTTTTGAAAATGAGGTTTCTGGTGTACCACCTATGCGACCACTTTGGATGGAGTTTCCAAATGAAACACAAACATTTGGCATGAATGATGAATACATGTTAGGTTTGTAATTTAATTTTCTGTCTATCTCTTTAGTTAGTTTTATTATATTACCATGTAATGCTTAAATTGACTGGACATCATTTATGAAAAAATATGCTTGTAATGATTGATATGTATTTATTAGTAGTAGTATCTGTGATTAATTTCTCCCTCCCTCCAAAAAAATAATACAATAAAAAAATAATGTTTTGTATTTAGTCGAATTATTAGCATTAATTAAAAAAATAATATCAAAAGCAATGTAAAACTTTATGAGGAGAAACTTAATAGTACAGTAAATATTAGATGCAGAATACTGTTTTGCAAGAAGTGTCAAAAGGTCCAATTATTCACAGTGATGCAAGCTTGACACCAGTGTTTCATGACACTGATGACACATTACAAATATGGTTGGTTTCATTTCCTGATACATTCTTTACAGCAACTTGTCCATTACTACTTGTTAACACATTTCTGAAATGCATGTCCATATGAAAGCAAAAATGGATTTGATTTTGTGAAATGATGTTTGTTTTCTATATTTAGGGTTTACCATAATTGCCAATCAGTAATGCTGTAATGCGATTAACTAGTATTTGCATAGCTTTATTAGGCATGTTTCTAATCAATATACTATGTATCCATGTGCACCAGCTGTGTGCTGCAGAATTTAGGGGAAAAATAGGACAAATAGTAAATATAAGACTCGGTAGTGAAATAAGATGATAGTTCCAAATGTACAGGACATATGGCAACAGTGTCTATATGATAGGCCCCACCATTGGCCAAGTATTTGAAGATCATTGAATACTGGTAGGGCTGCCTGCATGGTTGGTTTTCCCCATGTAGAACTTGAATATGAGCTAGTTTTCTTCAGAAATCCTCCATAAAGCCATCTCTCCTGTTAGGCGCATAGTTTCATGTACTTTGCTATATTCAGATAACTTAACCTATGTACATTCCAAACTTCAGTAAGAAAGTCCAGGTGCAGCAGCACTTATTTGATTTTGTCCTTCTTTTCTGTGTGAATATGGATCATATCTATATTCTCTAACTTCTTCCAAAATCTGTATGGGAGTTTTGATGTTCACTATATATAAAAGTGAATAAATATTTTGTTCTAAAAAATTCTTTTAAAGATTATTTATGTACTGTGCTCCTTTTGGTATAAATATCCCATGGTCTAAATATCTGTATGTAAATCTAAATGTGTAAATGCTTATAATATTCCCAGACTTTTTTTGATAGGTTCTTGTCTGCTTGTTAAACCAGTATTGGAAATTAGTGCAACAAGTATTAACATCTATTTTCCTGGAATAAATGAGGTGTGTCCCAAAATTGTTTATAAATTTACTGTTATTATGTTTTTAAGTTTTTAAAAAATTATTTAAATGATTTTATGTATATTTTATTCATTTTAAAATGGTCGATGTCTTTATAGGTTTGGTATGATATAAGCAACTATAAGCGATATGCTGGTGGACAAACTGTTTCATTGCCTGTTACTTTAGCTACAGTAAGTGTTGGAATTTTGTAATCCATAGCAAATTTATTTTTCAAATGAGTTATTTTTTAATGTGCATTCTAGCTATCTGTTTTAATGATGTTTACTCTGAATTTATTAAAGAGCCCAAAACAAATTATGGAATACTTAAAAATTCTGGTTAGAGTAATTTATGAACTGCAGTGCATAGAATCCAAAATAATAACACCATAACACTGAAACAGACAAAATTTCAAAACGATGTTGAAATCAGTAGAGCAAGCAGACTGTATTGATGGAGTTAATGTGACTCCTTTGAGAAACTAGTTCAACAACACTTAATATTTAAACATTTTAAATGGCTGATAATTGAAAAAAAAATTATATTTAAAAAAAGGTATTTCATTTAATTATGTTTAATGAGCAATTTAAATGTAAATATAACAAATAGATAAGCAAAATTAATTAGCATATGAAATAAAGAAAATATTGTGACAAGAAATCTAATTATTGCATAAAAAAAAGAAACTAAAAAACAAAGCTGACTGCTGATTGCATTCTAAATGTTAATAATACATACTGTTGTATTTAAATGGTAGTAACTCATGTTAAAAAGATACATATAATTTTCCAGTGCTATAGAATGCAGTATCAATTTTTAATTGAAATAAAAAATATTATATTTATGTGTATTTCAGTCATATGCCACATTTTAAATAATATTAAAAATATATTATGTAACGGAGCACTGAATATAATTTGTAATATAACTGCAATAATAAAAGTATTGGAACTTTTCAAATATGTTTTAAACTTATTTTATATTTAAAATTGAACTGCAGTGATTCATCTCCACTTTTCTTACAATATTTATCAGTTAAACTTTCAAATGTTTCAGTTGCTATTTTTATAAAAAAAAATAGGAATTCTTGCATAAAAATGTTTCACTATTTCGTTTCTCATTGACACATACTCTAGACTTATTTATTCAGATCAGGGTTACCATGCTACCTGAAAAACTCGAAAAAGTCATGAAATTTAAATATTTTAGTCAAAATCTGAAAAAGTCAGACGTCAATCCCAAAAGGAGCGATTTTTGCTCCAACATTGGAAGCGATCACTTTCTTGCCGAATTATGTATCACGGGAGCATCATTTAGGCAGCTGACATAGAGCTAATTTTCGCAGCTCCAATGAGATTGTCTTTTAGAAAGGCAGAGCAAGTTTCCAGTAACTTCGAGAATCAAGAGACTCGCATTCATATGTGCAGCGCATGTTGAACAAAAGAAAATACCTTTCTATCATCATATAAAACAAAATCGGTTTGATCCTGGTATATCATACATGTACGATTTGGTGACATTATGATGAGGAGTAACGGGTCATTATGGTGTTGGTGACAATTTTCAAAATTGTGCCAAGGCTGTACCGTATACTAGGATTTTACCAAAAAATCTTTCAAGCCTTTTTTTTAGAATAAATATCTTATTTGTCATTTTGCAGTAAAATAAAAAAAAGTAATTAAGTATTTAATACAACTATATTCGCTAACTATTTAATACAACTATATTCGCCAAAATATCGTTGCACTATGACCATCATGAAATTTTATGCGCATATTTTTTGCTTATATGTGCTGCTAAATAAATACAAAGTACCTGAATTTATTTAAAAATATCATTAAATAGATTTCTTTTCTCAAATACCTATCATGTTGTTGCATGCATATGCATTTTGTTGAATCAATGTGTGATATCATCCCTTTCTTCATCCTCTGCCTCATAGAGAAATAACCCCACCCTTCTGTAATTTTAACATTTATTTCACAAACACAAAAACTAATACTAAACTACAATACTAATAACTGAAATATATAAAGTAATACAAGTTAATTTCGTTTTCATTAATGGCTCCCACGAGCCTTCCGTACGACCTCTCTGTAGGTCTCCCTCTTGGAAACTAAAACTTTTGGCACCCTCTATACATCTCGTTGGTTGGCGTCACCCATACATCACACCCCCCATTCAAGATTGAAATAGAGTGAAAGCCTATTGAAATATGACAAATTATGGTGACGTCGAACAAAAGAGTTACTTACCTACTAAAGTCTACAAATCAATCAATACTGAAGTTAAAAGATATATAACGCAATACTTATACAGGTTAGTTCTATGCTTACTAAAAGACTTCTTTTAAAACTGTAACATATAAATGATTTAAAAGTAGTATTCAAACAATTCTAATGCAATAGAATACTTAAAGTGTCTATGATATACTTAAAAGTCTCTAGGAAAGTAGCTGAAAAAGAAACACACACATAAAAAATAATAATCTTAAGAGTTCATAAATGTCTATGAAAAGTTCTTTTTTCACACAAGTCACTCAATAGTCTCTAGTCTGGACAACGCATCAGCATTGCTTAACTTAGCACATGGGCAATGTAAAATTGTTGTATCATACTTTTGTAATGCTAAAGCCCATCTCTGTAACTTAGAAAATTGTGATGCATTCTTTGTGATGAAAGTTAACAGATTGTGATCAGTTATCAGTTCCACAGGTGATCCAAAAATCCAAGTTTCAAATTTTTCAAGCTCCAAATAACAGCATAAGCTTCCCTCTCGATCATGGAGGTAGAAAGTAAGAAGGAGTCGCCCTAAACAAGTTTCTCCGTACCCTGCTCTGAAGCACCGGCGATCCCTACGTGGTGACCAAAACATTGGGTCATTTACCATTGAGTTCTATGGGATTTGACGCGTTGGGGTGTAAATATTTTGTAATTACGTCGCAAATATACATATAAATGTATATGTTTTCTTTTTCTACAACACTTCAGAGTCCTAAGTATGTGAAAACAACATATTTTAAACAACATTTCATTCTGAACGGAATTAAATGCTATACTTTTCACAGGACAGTTTTCTCAGAATGGTTTAATTTGAATGAAATATTTTCACAAGTTTTCGTTAATTACATTAGAAAAAAAAATTAAGGTAATTCGATTTTATTCTGTTAAGGTACAAAAATTAAGATCAAAGTTTATTGTATTAATAATATTAAAATTATGCATTATTTCTTTTCTATTTATAGAGCTTCTTCCTAAAATACTTTCTTAAATATGACATGATTTTTTTGGCTTCTTTTAAATCGAAAAATGTAAGTCAATTTATAATTAATGCTCTATTCGGTTCATTTTAAATTAGAGAATTATTAGGAATTAGCCTAATAATTTATTCCTAATATTCCTAATAATTAAATATGTATTAAATAGTATTTGACTTTCTCTGAACATTTCTGAAAGGGAATAAAATAAGTTTTTTTTTTTTTTTAAGTATTATTTAAAACTTGTGACTGAGTTATTATAAAATGTAAAGGGAATAATTCTTTTAATTATACTTATCAGATTTTTTTTTTTTTTTTTTTTACCCTTCATTTCAACAATACATATTCCAAAACTCTTTATTACGTTCTTAAGTGCGCATCTCATAGCATTTGCTTTACAATACCTTTTAACAGATTGCTTTCCAATACGAACAATTCTTGCTTAAATAGTTTTATAACGTATTTGTCAACAGGATTTCAATTTATGTTTACAATTCAATATTAAGGTTATTATATATTTAGATAACATTTATAATCATTATAAATTAGATACATTTAATCATTAGATTTCTTCACAGTACTTTCACAGTTGTTTATAAGTGAATAAATTCTTCATTTCAAATACATTTATAAATAATTTAATGAATATTTAAGTATTTTGTCAAAGGCAGATACATGCTTTTTGCAAGCACATGCATAAATACCCATACATATTTCCTATTTATCATTTCCGGCATGTGCAAATCTTTAATTTCTGTGCATTCACTATATTTTTTCGTGTAAAGTAATTTACACTAATTTAGCATACACCCGAAAGTTTTACATAAAAAATATATATGAATATAATTTGAATGAAAATTATAAGTATTATTTTTAATACCCACTCAAAGGTCAGTTTTTCTTCAAAATTCCTCCACGATGGCATCTCTCTCTTTAGGCAGATAGCCCTTGCCATGCGTTACTCTATTTAATAAAAACTTAATCTGACCTATGTGCCTAATTACAAATATTTTAACATACATAATTTTATATTTACATTTAGCCATCAAGTTTCAAACTTTTCAAATCTTCTAGAAAATAAATTTTGGCAGATCTCTTTTAGCAATTTTCTTAAAATCTATATTTTTGTAGTGCAACAGCTTAGAGTTTTATAAAACAAATTCATAATCAAATGCGTAAATGTCAGTAAACTATACAAATTGCTATTATCCATCCCACTATGAATGTTTCTTTCATGCGAGAGTGTCCCTTTTTCGATTTCTATGGAACTGTCGTGTGTCGAAATACTATCAGAATCCTGTCAAGCGAGCTTCTGAATGTAAACAAATAACACCCCGTCTGGTGACCCAAGCTTCAAAGCAGTGCTTCACTTCTAGCGCGGAATGGCCCCTCCTCCCTTTCCTACCTCCATGCTCTCGATAGTTGGCCATGCTTGTTGTGTTTTGGTTAGTTTCTGGCTGGCGTAACTAATCAGGTACAGCTTTCCGTTTTTCTGTTGAGATAAGCAGGCTCCAACACCTGTTGAAGATGCATGACATTGAATTATAAAAGATAACCTTGGAACAGATGTATAAAGACTAGGTGCTTCCATTAGGCATTTCTTTAATTTATCGAATACTTCGTCATGTTTTTCTGTCCAGCACAGCTCTTCAGGACTTCTTCTTTTGGTGAGCTCTGTTAATGGATAAGCTGTTTCAGCGTAATGTGGAATGTAATCTCTGTGATAATTACATAGGCCTAGATCGCTTTTCAATTGTTTTTTTTGTTTGAGGTCTAGCTAATTTCTGGATAGCCTCCACTTTCTCTGGATCTGTACGATGACTGCCAGAACTGATGATATGTCCTAGATACTTAATATGAGTTTTAACGAAGGAACACTTCTTGAGATTTATGGAAAACTGTAGTTCTAACAGTTTTGAAAAAATGATGCCAAGA